CGCAGCCCCCGGGCACAGCCGAGCTGTGAGTGGCTTCTGGCTGGACAAGGGGGCGAGGAATCCCTGGGAGCTACCGGGACAGGCCAGGGAACATAAGCCGACCTCCCATGTCCCCATCACACCTCCCAGCTGGGAAGGACCCGGCGGAGCCCCCCACCGCCCGCCCCGCGGCTGTGCCACCAGCCCCAGCACCCCTCAGATGGCTTGGGAAAGGGAAGAGCCACACAAAGGAAAGGGTGCAGCACAGCTCTGCTCTGAGCCACCCAGAAAGCACCCGCCGAGAGAGAAGGCAACCAGGTTAACACGTCTCTGAACGCTGGGAGCCTGGCTAAGCCCAGGCAGGACCCCCAGGGCTGGGGTGTCGCGGCACGCAGTCAGGGCGGTACCGAGCAGGGGACCCATGTGGGGTGAGAGGCAGCACCAGGTGAGGGCACAGCCAGGACTTACCAGAGCCGCTTTTCTCACTGCTGAAGCCAAATCCTTGCAAGGAGCCGTAGGGGCTGGGGCTGGAGCCCATGCCTAGAGGAGGTACAAGCCACATTCAGAGGGAGCACGGGGTGTTCAGGGTCGCCCTCCACTGCTGTTCCTCCCCCTTGCAAACACAAGGGAGCGCCTGGGGCAGCCGGGAGGAGCTGGGGTGCAGGGCAGAGGCACTTGCACAACACATCAGAGGGAAGCTAAGGGCAGCCCGTCCCTCTGCTCCCCGGGCACATTTTTCCCTCTGACACAGAATTCTGCAGCCTGTTGTAGCCAGAGCTGCAGAACACCCCCAGCAAGCAGAGCCAGGGCCCACAGTGGGGGAGGGGCAGCAGCCAGACACCCGTCACCAGGGCCCACGGCACTCTGCCCTCACCCCCAGCAGCCCCCCTGGCCAGCAGGGCCTCCACACACCCACAGCTCCAGCCAAAGGGACTGGCCTGGCGCTGCCGGCACAGCCCACGGGAGGTGACAGGGGCACGAGGGGCCTGCACTTACCCGCAGGAGGCAGTGGCAGGGCAGGTGGGCAGAGAGCTGGGCGCCCCAGCCTGGTCCTGCGACAGGGGTCTGGGAGGCAGAGCTGCCCTGCCGCTCCAGGGAGGACCCCAGCACTCCGCCTGGCACAGGGGGAACGGGGCCAGCACTCACCTGTGCGGCCGCCCGGACCTTCTGGTTCAAGCTGTTGCCGTGGAGGGGGTCTGGGGGCCCAGTGAACACTGCAAGACAGGAGGCCGGGAGGGCTGGGGGACACTCGGCTCCCAGGCATGAGGCAGAACACAGGCCCCAGACAGTGCTCGGCCTCTGGAGCAGCCCCCGCCTGGCACAGGGGGAACGGGGCCAGCACTCACCTGTGCGGCCGCCCGGACCTTCTGGTTCAAGCTGTTGCCGTGGAGGGGGTCTGGGGGCCCAGTGAACACTGCAAGACAGGAGGCCGGGAGGGCTGGGGGACACTCGGCTCCCAGGCATGAGGCAGAACACAGGCCCCAGACAGTGCTCGGCCTCTGGAGCAGCCCCGGGCTCTCCCCCACAGCCAGGCTGGGTTCCCCAGCACCACACAGGGCCGCTCCCCGCTCTCCTGCCCCACTCCCCGCCCCGTTACCTGCCGCCTCCCGGATGAAGCAGGCGTTCCTCTTCAGCTGCAGGACGAACTGGGGGGAGCCCTGGGTGCACGTGTGCAGCAGGATCTTCAGCACCTGCGGACGCGGGGCTTGGGCTGAGAAGGTAAGTCACGGCCGCCCCACCGGCCCCTCGCCCTGCGGCAATGCCCTCGCTCCGGCCCATCGCCCCGGGGAGCCCCGCAGCAGCCGCCCCCCGCTGACACCCCCGACCCACCTTCAGCTTGACGTGGCAGG